AGTTGGTTCTGCCCCATAGCCACCCTGTGTAGGGTTTCCAAGGAGCAGCTGGTGAGTTTGAACTGCCAACCTTGTGGTTCATAATCCAGTGCTGATCCTACACTGCCACACCAGGAGTGCTTTAAAATCATAGAGCATGGTTTTAAGGAGCATTTGCATATTAAATAGCGATTAGGTTAATTTTATCATCTTAATAAGAAACATTTTTATATACTATGATTATATAAAGACATACATTATATAAGGACATGTATCAAGAGGCATTCAATTCCTCTATCACAATACTCAGAAAGAAATAAGAATAGGAATACTATTATACACTTAAGTCACAAGATTCAAACAAATAAGTTGCTTTTTATGTTCTTTACATTCAAAAAGAAAAGTATGAAATCTTGTTTTGCTTATGATGCATATCTGAGCATTCTCATCTAGAGTTTTTTATGTATGTCACCAACATTGGACACTCCATTTTGTAATGATATAGCTCTAGTGATCATACATATTAGTTTAAACAAATATAATTATACCATTAAAATTCTAGAGGGAAATAATTTTAATAGAAAATTTTATATTACCTAATGGTTATTTTTCCTTTTAATTTAAAAATGTCTAGAAAGATCTTAAAACTGGATATTATTTAGTGTATTATTGAGAGGTTTGTTTTGATACTATACAATCCCCTTATTATTTCTTTTTAAATATTTCCAAGCTTAGTGTTTGTGACTAAATTTTTGTGTCTGTATGTGTGTGAGGATCAATATAATAAACGTATTTCCCTTTTTCTCTTTCTGGTTGCAGATTTATTTCCCATGAAAAATGGTGTCTGAAGCAGCAAGACATGACTTACATTGCATATATTATCATAGAATAAGTAAAAATGTCCTAATGTAAATCTCGATTCAAAACTAAAATTTTGCTATTTAAATTAAGTGCAATATAGAAAACAGTTCTTTGTTCAATGACATTTTCATGACATCAGCAAATAGATGAAATAACAGCACCTTTTAGATATAAACATTTATATATAGGAGCTCTGGTAGCGTAGTGGTTACGAATCGGGCTGCGAACCTTAAGGTCAGCGGTTCGAAACTACCAG